TGACACGAGGGCCTACGTGCCTGCAATTATCTTTTCTATTAACCTTTCGTGCTCATATGTTTGCTCGAAAAAGTCATTCCAATCATACTTTGACAGTATGTCGGAATAAATTTTCAAAGCCAGGAAGATCATCCTTGGATAAAACAGAAAGGCTTAACAAAAAAAAATTAAATATATAGATTAGACTAATTGCGAAATACACGATGTTTCGACCAAGAAATTGAGACCAGAAGACGTCGAGCTATCTTTGTAATACATATCCTCTCGAAAACCAGGGCATCTCCTGAATATTTTCAAAGATAATGTATAAGATATTGTTGATGTTCAAGCAATAGAAATTAAATTTCGACAAAGACCAAGTACGATCGCAAAGGGTTGAAGATGTGTCCATTCGTACTGGAAGCAATGAAGCAATCTCAGATTTGTCAGACAAAAATATTTTCAATATTTATTTAATTTCTTCCCACCACTCTCAATTCCCCACAAGATCAGTCTCATTTGTTCTTTGTACGTGCCAGATTTTATAGATTGCATAAACTTTTCTAAATGCATGATGGCTCAAAAACAGTGTAAATATCAAACAACGTAGATAATTCAAATATCGGATCAATCGTGTCACGTGACCAAAAAATGAATGTTTAAAGATTTTTATCTCCTCGATGCATGATCCCTCACGATTTTGTACACAAATAACGACGTAACCGAAAGCTTATCGCGCACGCCACGTCGTGAATTTAAAAATCACACTCGACGTTCAACGTAGTTTCATCTGTTTATTCAGATATTTCTGAAAGAAAAAAAAAAAAAAAAAAAATATCCAAGGCAAACGATAAAACTCCGAAATGAAGATTTCGTGCATGAATATATTTAGGTTACTCTGGGGTAATGTACGTAAAATACGTCGTCGCGCGGTAAGGAAAGATCGCGCACTATTTTCATAGTGTTAAACGTAAAACATGAATGTCTCAGACCTCTCTCCGCGAGTGTCTGAAAATGTCCCTGAAAGACTAAATTTTTCTCCCCGTTCTTTTGTCCGCAGCTTTATGACAGTAAAGAGAGATGAATCTGTGAAACGGCAGAGCGTATAAAGATAAACGAGAAAAATATCGGACACGTGTATTTCCCGAATGAGATAGCAAGTTTGTCGAATCAAACGAACGGAGGTGTAAAATGACGTAAAAAAAGTATCATAACGCATATACATAAGTGTCGAACACGTGATGACGACTGAACGTGTACACATAGGTATTCATCAAATTCGAAACAAGTCTGTTTCGACATGTATGCGACACAGAGCCAAGGATTTTAAACAGAGACGAGCACGAGACGAACGTTTGTTGAACAAAAATACCGGCGAGTGAATATTTGTCGAACAAATACGCCGCAATGCGAGCAGCTATTCAGTGAACTGAACGCAGGATCAAATGCACACGGTATTAAACAGATTAATATTGTAACATTAAACAAACCGGTTGCAAATCGGTATAGGATTGTAAAGGATTGAGTTCAATGCTGAGGCTATTTAATTATCATCGGCTATTAATTTCGCATCTCAAAAGGACAATCGGAAAAATGGAAATGGCATCTACGTTGAACGAGGTGAAATTAACTCTCGGATGGACCTTCGATATTCGATAAATTTTTCGTAATTTTAATTTATTCGTCGAATTAGGATTAATTAGAAACGTAATGAGAAAAGTTTGGGTTATGCTGATGAAAATTAAAACGAGTCTGACCCTCCCCTGCTCGAAGTTAAGTTTCGTTGAATTTTAAACCTGAGATACTATTCATTCTTATTTGATCTTTAAATTCCAAATTCTATTTCATTTAAAATTCCAAATATTTCACGTTTGTTCTAACTAAATCTGTGTATCATTGATGACATAGGGAACAGGGAAAATAGTTTAAATAATTGAATAATTCAATAAGTTCAAATAATTTAATATATGGTAGAACTTTCTCTATGCGAATTCCTAATATTCCAGAATATAAATGTCTGTCAGCGGCAGATGATGTTCAAGTTACTAACATTCTTTTATTTCATTTCAGTTGTCATGTTTATTTTCTGTACTGTGTCCTTTTGATTGTAATTCTCTTCTCTTGCCTCTACAATTCTAACATCTTACAAAAGATCATTCTCCTATATATTTATTAAACATGCGAAATATCAAGATATTCGAAAAATAGAGATTCATATAAAAGAGGCTCTAATGTATTATATTTAAGATACTAAGTTAAAATGAAACATTTTCCAGCACATTCACTAATGATTGATTTAAAAACCATATTGATCAACTCCAGAGAGAACAGAGATGACATTGTTTATGTTATTTTCTCCGAATTAATGAACTTATGAAAGTTGAATTTGTTGTTTCTCCTTCTACTCACATAATAAAATCAACACTAGAACTATCAAAGTGATCAGCATGATCAATTTATATAATTTCCCGCAGAAATTTCATACATTTACAACAGTGTATTATTTTTAGAAACTTGAATGATTTTTAGTAAAACACATAAATAAAAGCCTCTATCCTTCGTTGTAAATTCTTCCCTTACACTGTTTTACAATTTCTCTGCTGCAAACTTGCCTTAGTCATCGGTAGCTCTAGTGTTGAGAAACTACTGAAAAGTGGAGTTGATCAGTTTGACTGAAATATTCGTGTTACGTGTCTTTCTGAGTACCATGAGGAATCTGTGTCACGCTAAGCGTGTGTAAATAATTTTAAGGATATAAAGGGTTCAAATTAAATAGAGTTGCAGTGATCTCGATGGCCCGCTCAAGTATCAAATTATCAGAGCGCTGATCGGAGATGATCGTCCAAAGTAACTGAACGATTCGCATCGATGTCGGTAAGGATAATCCAGGGAACAGGAAACAATGTTAAAATGCTACTGCAGCGCGTTCAGCTAGAACGAAACGAGGACAAAGACAGCACGTCGTAGAAACAAGAAACCGTTCGCCGATTTTTCTAAATAGTATACATATCACGACGCTTTAAAAAAAAAAAAAAAAAAAAACGACGCAGGAGAGCGACGAGGAACGCTCGAAGGATCGAATCAGACTCCCGACGGAAGCAGAGAAAGAGAGAGAGAGAGAGAGAGAGAAAGAGAGAGAGAGAAAAGGAAGGAAGGGGAAGAAAGGGAGGAAATGTACGAGAAAAACTTGCTACAGCACGAGTTAACGCAGCACGGTATCAGGGGAGCGACAATGTGCCGTATAAAAGGACTCTGTACAAAGCCTAACCACACACGGACACACATGACACACACACGCACACGCGCGCGCGCGCGCGCGCGCACACACCACACATATCTGAATCGTAACGACACGCTCTACACGCGTCTTCAACTCTCACACACGCACAGATCCCACATGTACACACGTTCGTTAAACCACCGCCCCTTTACACGTTTTATCGGTCCTTTTGACTTTGTAGATAGCGATACGATACATTTTCTTACACGACGCCGGACGACGTCGACGCGCGCCAGCTTCCGGTAATGACGGAGAGGTCGCGCGGTCGTCGTTCGAACGCGATTGTATTGCTAATTGCTCTCGTTATTATGATTATTATTATTATTATTATTATTATTATTATTATTATTATTATTATTATTATTACTCATCGTTACGGTTATGCATTTAAACGAAAGAAAGAAAGAAAAGTAAACTGAAACGAAGAAATCGTGGAAACGCGACAGACGACGACGACGACGATGAGGAGGAGCTCGCGTTCTAGTCGTGGATCGTCGAGCGTCCGTTTTCTTTTTCGAAAATTCGAGAGGCGTGACGTCACCTTCATTATTGTACTCGACAGCATTGTAATTTATTCTTGTAACATCATTATCGTTATCGCTGCGATCACCCGTGATTTTCGTCGGCCACTTTCCAGCCATCCCCCCCCGGTGAACCTCTGCCCCCTATCCTACTAAACGCGTTTCTCTCGCTGCGTTTGCAAGTAGAAACCAACACCGACGGATCGATGAAATAATAGAGCCACTTAAGGGGGAGAAACGCGCGGAAACGAGAACTCGAAGGAGGGCGAGATTGAACATGCGTTTCCTACTTGGACTGTGGTATGACGTGGCCGATGAACGTGACGCGTGATCAAGAGAGAGAGAAAGAGAGAGAGAGAGTGTGTGTGTGTATGTGTGTGTACGTGTGTGTGAGAGAAAGAGAGAGAGTGGATGAGAGTGAGAGAGAAAGAGAGAAGCAGAGGTGCAGATGTAATAAAATGAAGAAAATAAAAAAAAGCGGATTATATATCTATTATTGTATCGAGAGTTGTGCGCTGCGTTTGCGATTTAAGCTAGTTCGTTTGTAAATAAAGACTATTTAACTCTTTGAAATCTTGCCTCCCGATTATTACGAATCTGTCTTTACGTTTGTCCCCGTGCTTTTATTTTTTATTGCCTCTAGCCTGTTGGACTTTTTTTTTTTTACTACAGCCAGTCGAAGAAGTTTATATACAGCGGGTGTAGAGAGTATTTGTACATTCGGTGAAAAATTGCTTCGACGCTTCAAACTCTTGTAACTTGGTGGAAAGTTCTGAGAGATAGCTGTAAAGGGGAGACCTCAATCTTCGAGACACCATGATCGTTCATATTTTCATAAAGATGTCTGAATGTGCTAAATTTTCGAGAGAATCTTCGTATTTTTGAAATAAACCAGCTCGGTATTTTTTAAAAAACAGTGCAGAATTTATGCTTTAAAATGAATCTAGATAAATTATAGTTTAAAGTGTCGACAATTTTTCATTGATTGCGAGAATTACTGTGTCCAGCAAAAATACTGTTAATATTTTAAACTTAATGAAAAAAATTTTAAAAGTTTACATACAAAAGTATCAGAAAACTTTTAACAAAATTTAAATGTTAAAGTATTTATCAGATATTGGTCGATCCCTGATGAATTGAATATTTGAAACTCGACAGATAAATCTATGTAAACTTCTATGTGACTAACACTATTTATTTAATATTACATTTTCCATTTATATATGAACGTGTATAAAGGTAATGTTATAATCAAAATTTTATTTTCTAAATTTATTTAATGCCACATCTTTCGTTTATGCGTCCTTAGAAAAATAATATTGTAGCACGACAAGTGAAGAGCAATATAATGGAAATGAAATTTTCAAAAATATGAACGGATGGACATGAATATTGCACAGTGTTGCAGGAAGTTGAAACAGCTACTTTTCCTCTGGAATTCCTCAAAAAAAAAAAAAAAAAAAAAAAAAAGGGGGCGAGGAGACCAGAATGACACTGGATGAAGGATGCAAGATGAAATCGCAGAATTTTAATTGGTTATTTCAGCGGATAGCTGCTAGGTATTTGGGTGTATAATTAGTCGGTGCACGAATCTCTTGATCCTCTTAGATTTAGTTTCTTCATTCACAACGCGTATAAATACACACGCGCACATGGTCGAATTATGAGGAAGAAATGTATTTCTCTCATTAAAAATTTTTTAATTCGACTTCTGTAGAAAATTCAGCACGGTTATCGCGGGTACATTAACCTCTTGTCTTGCGGTATTCTTTTGAACTCTCTCAGCTAAGCACTAATTTTTTTCTTACAAATGTCAGAAATCTATGATAAATAGTGAATATTGAAAATAAAAAAATATCCAATATCTAATGAATTCCGAGCAAGAGTTTGATTGCCACTAGATCTCTAAATCTCAAACAATTAGCGAGTGGAAAGAAATAACAGTACCAATTCATTGTAAAAAAACTAACGTAAAATATTTTTTTGTGCCGTTTCGCGCATTTATATTTCCATTCTTTAAAATAATTAATTTTCAACTTATACACGGAGGGTTGAAAGTCGCTTCTCATTGAAAATAAATTATGCTACTATCCTTTTATCGTCAAAATCCTCAGTTGATGAAAAAAATGTAATCATTGCAATAATATTACAATTGAACTAAATTCATTGGCTGAAGGTTTGAACAACAAAAAGTGTGTCGCGATGCGACAAAGGTCATCTTTAATGGAAAACAACGTCACTCTAATTGTGAAAAGACAAGAGGTTGAAACATATGAAATTTATACTTACTATTGCGTTATATTACTATAGTAAAACATCGAGTCGTCGTATCAAACCTTCAAGGCGATCGATCTTTGGATAACACGTGAACTCTGGGATTTTGCTTCACACCTTACACAACTCGTTTCACTCGAAGGCTGTTCAGGCGATGCATGGTAGTTGTTCGTAAACGAGACACATGCCAATATTGTCCTCGAGCGTGGTCCCCGTGTCCTGTCCAGGGCCAAAAGCTATCCTAACACGAAAGGGCGTTGCCCAAGTTTCCACGCGGCAGTTGCCTTCTTCGTCCAGCTCGTTTCGATCGCACAGAGAGCTGCCGCAGTGTTCAAGGTTGCAAATTCCGGCCTCGTTGTTGCCAGGCTGCAACAGAGAAATCCAAAGTTCAAAGGTAGAGTATCTGGATAAGAAAGTTTCGAAACTGATATGATTGAATAATAACAAATAAATCGTTGGTTAAATATATTATACCGGAAATATTTATTCACCCTGTACAGATGAATCAAACATAAACTGACTAATAATGATACTGATAATCTAATAATTTATTATAGTATGTAGAAACCACTAGATATTTATTGCTCGTGCAAAAATTTTTTTCATGGTCTTCAGAGAAATAAGAATATATTATAATTATAAAATTCTAAATATATTATTATATTTTCAATGTTTTAAAAAATTATTGAATATCATAGATAAAATACTCATTTACTAAAGAAGTCATTGTTTTTTCTGAAACCTTAACGTACTTCAAACTTTTATTTATATTTAATAAAAAGTTGGTATGAGCAATAACCTGAAGTATAGTATATACCATATGATAACATGATATAACATGAAGAACAACAAGATGATAGCAAGAAGATGAATATTAAGACATATTAATATAATGGAGATCACTGTTTTAGTTTCTGCAAAATACTAGATATTAAATTATACACTGTATAGCTTTAGATTTCTTTCAAACATCTTCAGTTTAATCATGACGATAAAGTCATGCTATATTCTTAATGAAATTTCAAAATATTTCCTTTACAACAGGATACATTCATGAAAAGTTCGAGTATTCTCATGAGCACTTTCAGGTAAGTGTATCAATATTTATGGTAGTATACTGATATTTCCACATGCCTGTTTCTTTAATTGTAAGAGTTAAAAAGCTACTACAAAAAGTACCGATATGATAGCAGCATCGTACTATCTCGGTCTGTACAAGTCGACAACTTTTAATCACTTAAGATCATAATTCTTTCATGAATCACCTTTTTTTAAACGCATTTGTAACATAAGCACGCGCGAGTGATGTTCACGAGGATAAACAACGTTTTCCATTTTTTACACGCATTTTTAGACACCTGCATCGTAATTTTTCGCATCACGGAGCTTGCACAAGCTCGCATTATGCATAGTCCGGCTTTGGTCGGGGCTTTGTTCGGTGCTTGTGAAAAATGAACGAAATTAAGTAAAGGGAGACGGTGTTTCCTATTTTTCTTACTTTCATCGTGCAGATTTCCCTTCACAATTTAAATTCCACTGCGAATAATTAAAGTAATTGGAATAATTAAAGTGGCCGTAAAATAGATAATTGCCAGCTATAATTGCAAGTTATAATTGCCACAGTAGAAAAAACATCGTAAGCCCGTTTTAAATCGTATTTCATCAAAAACTTTTCCACTGAGACTCAACTAGGTAACTGATTCATACTTTGAACATTATTTAAAATAATACGTTTCAGAAATCGTGAGCTGAATAATACATTATTTAACCAGAAATGTTATTTAAAATAACCGTGCGTGAACATGAAAATGATTACTTAATTTAATCACTTGAATCTGAATGAATTTTTCAAATACTTTCCAATCGTCGCAAAAATTTCAGACAATCTTATACGACGTTATTTGTCATTTTACATGAATAATCGAATAAGAAAACTCGAATAAGAAGTTACTCGAATAAATGGGAAATGATTTATTTGAATCTCGACGATGAATAACTTGTTGCTCTTTCTATATTGTTTCTTCATTTCTATATTATTTTAAGTTGTTTTCGATTATACTTCAAGGAAAATGCGACGGCGTTCGGCTCGATTAAACTGAATTTTCTTCAAGCAACATTTTGCAGCGTTCGTTGTTGCATAAGAACAATTTACAACTACAAAAAGAAACAACAGAACAAGAGATCCGTTAGAAAAATTCGCTGTTCGATGTACGTACATAGCTCTCATAACAGGCAAGTTACACGCCCGAGGTTTACGACATGCTACAAACTTTTTAATCATCCAACAGTTTCATTCTAATTACTTGAAAAAAGTTCACTCGAGCAACGGACGTATTATATCCAGAAAATTACCATCTAAAATCAATTGAACGTAGAATACATTGTATCTTCAATTGTGAAGTTTATAGCTATCTACATAGTAAATATAGCGTAATATACAGAATGGCTTCAAGAAACAAGATATGTCACTTTATACTAAAGCTACAATGTACATTTGAATATGTAGTATATGTATGTGATATAGAATAATTGTTATACAAATATAAAGAATAATTTAACATTAAGAAGACTGAAATGAGAATATAATGAAAGAATATTAAGAAGAATAATGTAATGTAATATAATGTAACAACGTAATATAAAGAATAATTCTTATATGAATTTTATCAAGTGTTTGGTCTTGTACTACGGCATAAATATGCATAATATGCATTATAATATAAATTATAATACATCTGAATGAAATTTTACTAATCTTCGTTTAGAAAGTTTCTAGCAAATTATACAGTGTTTAGTGCAATTTTAATCACACAGAAATGTCGCAGACATATCAATGAATGTCTAATTTAAAAAAAGAAAAGACTAGTAATATAGAAATTATTATAAAGTTACAAGCATGAAATAGAGGAGGACAAAGAAAGCGAAAACTATCCACCGTACATTGAAATGATTCTAATTCTAAATATTTTTACTTAATTCGCAACATTAATTAAAAATATCTATATATAACGAAAAATTATTCTATTGTAAATATTCAAATATCGTTCAAGTGCCAAAAATGAGTATATTTTAATAAAAAAAAAAAAAAAAAAAAAAAAAAAACATCAATGCATGAAAAGTAATTAACAGAAATTTCAATTGAATCAGCCGACGTCTTCCCTTCCAAAGAATAAAAACCACGGGACTTCCGATCAATTTAATACCTTTCGCATGAATTATTCATGTACCAATTCGATTCACTTTCAAACAGCGATAACAGATCGCCCATAAAAGCAAACGACAATTCGCAGGGGCCGGCGATACAACTTTAACAAGTGCCGTTTCAAACCACCATTACCATAATTATTAACCTACAAAGCTCGGTGGTGTAATTCACGTGTCCAATCTCACTGGAAAGCCAACGCACGGTTTACGATCTGGCAAACCGAAGAAACAAACCCCACCGACCCGTGAGTTGTCAGCACGACGATTAATAACATCGATCTGCTAGTCTAACCTAACCGAAAGCCGAATCCACGGCATTAGAGATGGGATCGAGTGCTTCGCAACTTGATTCAGACGTACGTAGACTCCTTGGATCTTAATGGTTCGTTGAAGACGTTTATGATCAAGGAATATTTACATTACTACTAGGTAAGATTATTAAAATTAATTTCTCTTCGATCTCTTTTCAACCCTAATCTAATTTTAATTTACGTTTTTCTTTATATATTATATATTTTATTATTGTATGGCAAAGGGATTCATTCCCTAAAATAAGTGAATGAATATATTGTCTCCTTTAAAAAATTCAATAATTTATATTTAACCTCTTGCGCTAATAACTGGATCACCGACCATAACGAGTGACCAAACAGAATACGATAATTCGTCCTCTTTTTGAATTCGTCGGTATATCATTGGATAGAAATTACTTAAGAAGTAATAAATTTATTATTTGTTTCGCCTGGGTTATACTTTGGTATACTTAAAACTGAGAAAATATTGCAATTTTGGGCCAAGAGGTTAAAGATTCAATAAATTATGTAATTTCTACGCTTAATAATCCGTGACACTTCAAATAGTAGTGGCGAATATCTCGATTTGAACACCCGCAATTATATATTATATATTACATACTATTATATTATAATGTATTTAATTATAGTATATTTATCTATTATAATTATATTATATGTCATATAATACGGCATATCCATATACCGTAGTCATATTGTATGTCATATATTACTACATATTCATAATTATCATAATTATATCATATATTATATATTTTATTATATATAATATGTTATATGTTATATATTTATATTTATATACATTATTATATATTATATTATTTATTATATGTCATATTATTATATTTATAATATAAATATATATTTTATTATATATAATATATTATATGTTATATATTTATATTTATATATATTATTATATATTATATTATTTATTATATGTCATATTATTATATTTATAGTATAAATATATATTATATATATTATAAATATATATTTATTATATATTATATTATATTATATTACATTATATATTTATTATATATTAATATATATATTTGTATATTTTATTATATATTATATTATTTATTATATGTCATATAATACGACACATCCACATACCGTAGACATATTATGTGTCATATATTATTACATATTCATATATCATAATTATATCATATATTATATATTTTCTCTGTGCTCGAGACCAACGAAACGAAACTTCGCTCAGATTCATAAGCACACGTTGAATTCGATCCCATTCCTACTCGTCTTCTCAACAGCCAGCCTTCGCAAAACAAGCTAAAAAACATTACCGTGATAAACTCCTCGAAGTCACAGGGGATGAGCACCCTGTCTCGACATCGTTCCTGTCCATAAACCGCTCCGTTCGACGGGCCGACGACTTCCTGCTCCGTAGGGCTGCTCGTGTTCATCGAGGTGCCACCTTCGTCCATCGGGTTCGATCCGGATCCCTCGATCTCGACGTTCGTCCCGTTCAGAGATCCCGCGTCGTCCGTGTTACGGACAGTCGAATTCGAATTCGAATTCGAATTCGAATTCGCGTTCGGCGTCGTGCTATTCGCCAGCTGCGTTCTGCGCAGACCGATCCGGAAGGAATCGGGCGAACAGGGGGCGTAAGAGATCCCGCACATCCCTCTCTCCTGACGGACACACAGCAAGTAGTCCTGGTTGGCGAGAAATCGCCCGTTCGACAGGAAGTTCAACGATTTCAATGTGCCGTTAGAGCCTTGGAAGTACTGCAGGCAGCCAGTGGGCGCACGTTGGTCGAAACCGAGCTGGACGATCCTCATCTCCCACATTCTTGGCTGGAGGCTGCCGAGTAATCGGAGATCCAGCGTCAAGGACTGTTCGTCGTCGTCCATGTCTATGTACACTGGCGAAAAGAAAGAAGTGGGATGAGTCTACCAGCGGCGTTATCTCGATTGCAGGGACAAGATCGTGATTGATCTCTGAGAAATGGAACGATCGGTTTCACTCTGAGGGACTTGGTCGCGCAGCGCACGATACCCTCCCCATTTTTTTCGTACACACGGGGGAAGCTACAGTTTTGCAGACGAGATTGATTGTTCCCCGTCGCTTGGAATGCGATATATCGACGAGATTTTAATCGCAAGCTGGCGAATACCTTGTTTATCAAGCGAACTTCGCTTATTAACCCCGAAGTGGCTGGATATTAGTTGACTAACTATTTAAATACTGAAGCAATTTGCCAGTGAAGAGTTTAAATAGAACGCAGGAGCAATCGCCTGTTATCGTGATTGAATTAAAATGGCGAGTTCAGTGAAATAAAATTAATTGAAATAACAAAGCCAATTGTTAGAAGCGTAGTTTCGATTGTTACATGTTAATTATTGTTTATCATTTATCGTTTGCGCAGTGGTAATGGCGAAAGTAAAGTAGTATTGCTTTAATGATCGATAATTATTTGTTATTCGAACAGAATTAAATTGCAAGCGCAGTTTTAATTACCGTTTATTGAAATATTATTTCTCATTTTATGCAGAAACGGAGACTTTTATATTAAAAAAATATATATATACAAAGTCAATCACTTCTCGCTTTTCTCGCTGTATGCGCTTCGATTATTCAATGTCGATAATAATAATTTCGTTCGAAAGCAAAAACAGAGACATTACGATAATAGAGACCAATTGTCCATCTGTAGCTATTTTCAATATTAATGTACTTTAAAAAAAATAATTAAGGATTTAGTTTATCCTGAGAACAATTTGTAATAAGGACATTATTACACAGATCTTGAAGAATATTTCTGTGTTCTTTTTGTACAAAATAACTAAACTGCAATATAGTCTTAATGCTGCGCAATTTTTAACGACCATCTTTAGAGTACCGGTAGCATAAATTACGAATTTCAAGCAAATGTTAATGATTCTTAATTTCCGCGTAACATTTATCCGAGAATTGTGTTCGAGGTTTTCTAAAGCGGTTGAATTTTCTTTTGCTACACACATTTTTATAAAGAATTTTTATTCAAGAACGTACAATTTCCAGAGACGAAAAATGATCTCTGATATTATTCAAATGTCCGAAAAATTTATTAATCTAGAAACAATTTATTCATTTATTTTCTATTTATAATTATAAAACGATGCTCTCAATTATTATTTATCATTTGAATAAGAATTTTCCCAACTCTGTTGATAAACCGGAATACTGCAGGGTATTAGCCAAGGTTTTCCATTCGATCGTTCCATTCAACCCACCGTACAAATACGCAAAGATGAAAGAGAAATATTTGAACGTTTAGCTTCGACCACTGAAATTTTTTTTCTATCATCGGGTGTATAAAACTTATTGCGCCGCCCAGTTGCGTGAAATGCCCCGTATGTCGCACAACACGTCTAAAGAACAACATATTAAAAATCCTTCTCGCGTAAAATAACGACGACCTCTGAACCGGAAAATCAAATAGGAATATTTCTTTCTATAATGTCTTCGCCCAGAAAGAAAGAAGGAAGAAGAAAGGGACGCGAAATTGCAGTACGAAATGAGAAGCTTCAACTCGAAAAGCATAAAGGAAACTGTTACTCACGATGTTGGCCGCTGTTCCAGCCGCACATTTGAAACACGCTCCTGCCATTTCTGATTTCCATGATATCTTCGTCACATACGCCAGTCCTCGAGTTGGGTTGACCCTACGACGATCGATAAGGCTCTTGAATGAACAAGCTGTACAGTAAATGCGGCCGATTTTTATCAGCCAATGAACATACACGTACACCCCACACACACACACACGCACGCACATGACATTCGAATGCAGTGAACCAGTCAAGTAGATTGTGACCGTCTTCGCTAATGTTCGAAACAAATTAAGTGGTACCTCGCGAAATTTATTAATTAAGTTTCATCGATTAACTTCGTCTTCCATTCTGTTTGTATTCTTACCCTTTCAAGCGAAAGAAATTGTTTGATTCGTTTCCTTTCTCATATATATTCTTACACAGGTGTCTGATAATTTCGTATTGCAATGATTATTTGTAGATGAGAAATATGAATATAAATGTCAATTAATATTTTGTCAATCGATTGTAGTAAATAACTCTTATCACCATTCGTTAACTGATTATTAGCAAGTAATTATTATTACAGGCGTTACCATCGATAATAATAGTTGTTGTCATTATATTCATTATGGTTAATAAAATTAACAATGATTATTCACATTCGTTAATTAGTTGTAATAAATAATTATCGTAACATTTATAGTTAATTTTTATTTAGTAAAATATTAGAAGAATACTACACATTTGTCTTTCTTTTTCATCGTTTCACGACTTTTACGACCTTGGAAACTAATCTATTTCATTTTTATATATTTTTCCACAAGTGTCAAGCTTTCAGTAACAATTATGCGTTACTGATTGTTAACTTAATTGTAGTAAACTAATAGTGGAATACTACGCATTTCATCTTTTCTCCTCAACTTCATTTTCTTTATTATTCTTACAGCCTGAAGAAACTTTTCAATTTGTTTTGCACATTTTCGAAATATTGAAATTCGTGAGATTCCTATTCGCTTTCATTAATCAGTTATAGCGTAGCGATAATAAACGGCGCATTTATCTTTCATTTTTTCAGTCTCTCTTTTGAAAAGAAAATAAGTCTACCCGCCATATGGCAAAGCCATATGGCAATTAAAATTTCATCGCTACCAGGTCGCTATTAATTTGCCAACGACGGAAATATTCATACGAGGAAGTGTATTACTCTTGTTTCTACGCTGGTTGAATAGTTCGTTGAACACTTTGCGTTGAAAAGAACGTACAGTAAGTTTAATTTGCGGGCCGCTGCTTCAGTATACGATGAAGCTACGAGGGTGTCATTAACCCTCGGGGAACGTAGTCCAACTTTTAACTACTACCGCGTACAATTATACTCTTTGCAATCTTAATTTTAATTTTCCGCGTCGTGCGTTTTGTTTAAAAGTTTCGACAAAAACATCCGTACATCTGAAATCCTGAATCACGAAGTAAAAATCGATTGAAATGAGAACAACTTTCCTCGCAATTTAATTAACAGTCTGTTAACTTAGATTATCCTGAATCTAACGTGTAAAAAGTATCTCGAATACAATAAATAAATGTTATGTTAAATATTACATAAATTATGATAATATTATTATTTTTTGACGAATAAATAAATCATATTATTCACGATTACGGTACTTCTACTTTTGCAAATATATATAACTACGTAACTAACTCGAAGTATTTCTTCGCTTTTAAAATGTTTCGAACATCTTGGAAATTTTCAACAATTTTATTCCGTGATTTTCATACTTCTACTACAGGCATCTCAAAACTTTCGGGGTACTTCAAATGTTCCAAGAATTTTCTTAACACGGTTAATTTCACTCGCGACTATGACATTTTTCTTCCCGCGGACGTTTTCAAAGTTCGTTTAATCTCTGAAAAATTTCTCGAAAATTAAATTTATCGCCTAACTTCTGTTTCTCTGCAGACGTCTACGATAATGTCACCTCATCATCTCACAACGGACCTGCAAGTCGTCTCATTTCGTCCACGCTCAGCCATCGTCGAGATTGCCACACGAAAGACGTACTATAGCTGCGATCTACATCAGCGTGAAACATTCCACATCTCGACCAACAAACAAAGCATAAAAGAAACGATGGCTTTGCGACTCTTTAAAAAATTCATCCCTCTCTTTCTCTCTCTCTCTCTCTCTCTCTCTCTCTCTCTCTCTCTCTCTCTTCGTCAATCTCTAACTCTCTCTCAACTTCGACGACTGACCAACCTTGCGCTGGCAACTGTTTCGCGGACCATAACGAGTGGCCGGACCGTATACAATAATTCGTTTGCTTTCCTTTTCTTTTGGATAAAAATTTTAAGAAAAATTCACTGGATAGATGCTATTAAGAAGTCAATCTTATCAACTTGTCATTCGTTTTGCCTGGGTTACATTTAAACATACTTGAAACTGTGAGAATGTTGCAATTTGGGGCAAAAAGTTGTAGATATGAGTGACAAGGGGGTTAATAAAACGCGGTAATCTCACGCGGCTGAATTTTACAAGCGTGGCCAGATATCTCCCGGAGACACTCGTAAATGTCAACCGGAGGAACACACCGGCCGGAAACGGTGTATTCGGGTTAGTGAACTCTTGCTTGCGTTCTCAATTAGGGGTCGACAGTAACACACGGCCACTCTACCGTGGACGTCGCGCGGCGAAATCCTGGCGCACCGATAGTTCGGCTTTTCGGCTTTCGAACAGGCCGAACGATATCCAACTGTGTTACTGTGAGACGTAACAAAAAGAGAGAGAGAGAGAGAGAGAGAGAGAGAGAGAGAGAGGGACAGAGAATTGACGTGCACAATGGGAAATGGTGTGTCGCGTGGGTGTAATCGGCGTAATGCGTAGTATTCCACGGGTTAGTGGAGCAAAGAATGGCTAAGCTGTGCGTGGCTTACTATGTTGAAGTGGACGAAATCGATCCTGAGCTGGCTGACCTGCCTATCGATCTTCTGCACGACCACCGAGCAGTTCATGGGCCAGTCGATGAGGTTGGGGAAGCCAGGGCTGATCACGTACGTCAGATTATTCTGCACCTTTTGCTCGCAAGTTGTCGTGACTTGTGAGGGAACGAAAACAAAAAGAAAGAAAGGAAGAAAGAAAGAAAGAAAGAAAAAAGAAGTGGAAAACACACAGAAAGAGTCGAGTGAAGGGGAGCGAAAAAGTGGAGCGATTTCCACGGGGAAGTGGAATCGGTTAAAACAGCGGATGTGCATCGGCCGGCGAGCTCTGCTTCGTTTCTACGCGATGGAGCGTCAAAGTATTTGTTCTACGCGGTGAATATCGACTCGAAAATATTGATCCGGTTTACCCGGTGTGTTTCACAGCCGGGAGAAACAACGAATTCGAGTGCTCTCTCGCGTGGTCAGAAACGTGTCCCGATACGACGCGTTGATAACGATTCTTTCGTTCTCTCTCTCTCTCTCTCTCTCTTTCCCTCCCAACCCTCCGTCGGTGCACCGTTCCATTTTCGAATCACTTCCGTGCCGGGGTGAATCGTCGAATTCGCCAGCGAGGTTAATTGACGGAAATTTAGAGATAACGGCGTTGGGCAAACAAGTTCGCTGATCTCGATATCGTCAATTTCGAATTTTTCCGATTCCCTTCGCCTCGAGAGGTGTCTTTAATCGTTTAATTACACACAGGGTATATAATCCCATAAGAAGCAATTTTCTCTTCAACTGTTCGCTGTAGAAAAAAAATACTTCGAACGAAACTCACGTTGTTTGGAGATCTCGTGGTGGCCACAAATCTTCTCGCGATCTTCTGAGATTTCATTTGTTTCATTTGTTTCTTTTCCTGAGTTCACATAGCAAATAGTTAAAGAGAGAATTGCGTGAATTAGTTTCACACAGAACATATTGTATAATAGGTATTTTATTACTTTTGTATATGAAGATACAAGGTGATCTAGGAGACCAGGAAATTTGTTGATTTGTACCGTATCTTTATATTTTTGTCTAACACTTCGAACGAAGTATTTGTGGGCTTTTCGCCACGTGACACTTTAATCTTATTTTTACCTGTAGAACATTCTGTATATGGAATGTTGTATCGTTCTATAGACTTGAATAAAAGCATTTCGTGAAAGGAAGCAAGTACGATTTACAATATCGAAGAAGTTTTAGAGATTACAGTTTGCAGGGGACTGCAAATATTTGTTCAAAGATATAAAGGCCTCGTTTATATCGTTACGAAATATTTTATTGTTAAACGTGTGAGCAATTAAATTAATTGATAAATATGAATGAACGACTGTGTGATTTTAAGTGAAAACCCTACGAAAGTCAAATAATGTAAATTAAAATAATTGGACAATGGAAAATATAGAATATTCAGAAAACGAGAGTTGAAATCTTCTGGGTCTTATTTACTGAGAGAAGTGAGAAGTGAGTTAATCAACATAGAACCTCAAATGAATTTTTTTTTTTTTTTTTTAATTTAAAATGCATCATTTCAAATCAAATTCAGCTTCCTACTTTCAAGTTTGCTCGGTCTTGAATTAAATAACATAAATTAACGAATGATTTACGAACGTTAAATCTTCTTACGCATTTATAAAACAGTAATGTAAATATTTGACATTCACAGAATTATTCTATACGTAGAGAACAATATTGTTTAAAGTAAAATTTATTCTCACACTTCCAGTAATTTGCAATTTAGTTAATCTTAAATTGTACATAGTATTTAAAACATATATATAATAATGATCTGTGATTGTAAGTGGTTTTATATATTTATACAGGCAGACGTAAATATTAAGATTTGTAGAATCATACTAAATTACATACATAATACTAAATTGTAAGAAGGATTGAACAGTTCTATTAAATAATTTTGATTCGCGATTTGTAAAACGTGTTATATTAAATAATTCTGAAAACAACGGAAAATAAATACCCGTTAAATAAATATTGAACATCCAGTTTACTTAATTTATTATTAATTTGTGAATTTTATACGCTTTAATGCTTCGTGAAACAGTAATCGAAACATTTAATTAAATATTTATTCAAATGTTGCAGAGTTGGCCACATTTACGAAAGGGATTCGTTTGAAATATTAAATCTAATTTATTATATTGCCGCACAGTGTTTCAAAATCTGTGAATTACATTTTCAGTCGCTTGCATAACGAAACGTGCAAAATAGTTAATCGAGTTCGCGCGAGTGTAAAAAGAAGTTCCATAGAATATAGACTATTAATATTAATAAACGCGCACGTAATCACAAAAATATTCGAATTTCGACGATTCAAGCACCGTTAAATTGAAATAAATGAAAATCCCGCTGCAGAATATTACTACACACTACCACAATGGATCGAAATGGAAATTATTAAAAAAAAAAAAAAAAAAGAAACGAATTTTCATTAAATGGGAGAGAGGGAAATCGAAAGATGCGGAGATAAAAATTATTTGTTTCTCGGCGATTTCGCTGCGATTTTAATCAATCTTTTATTCACGCATTCCATTATTTTTCAAAACGGTGACGGGGAACCAATCGTTCAAAAATTGAAAGCAAACATTCATGGAAAATATTGACAAGAGAGACGCGGAGGAATTTGCAGGGAGTCACTATTCTCATAAAAATGAAAACATTTCTCGTCGTGAATGTGGATAAGAAGTATCTACGTTGAGATATATCGAGCTGTTATCATTATTAGATCGGAGATTTTTACGCAGTTAGTGTGCAAAATTACAGAGCGCGCGCGATATGAAAAAAACATGTAAACTATTCAGTGTTGCAGATGAAATTTCGCAGCACAAGTTTGCAATTTTCTTAAAAATGGCATTAATCAAATTTCGATTTCTAGATTCGATGCATTGTAACTATTACAGTTGAAATATTTAGCCGATTAATTGTCGATATTCTTTCTTAATCTTTAAATAATGAAAAAGAAAACTTTGGTCGATTGTTGATCAATTTAAAGTTAATTAATTTTAAAATTTTCAATCGACTGCTATATGTTTCATAAACATTGCTTCTTTGTCGATTATTGTTGATAATTTTGTTTCTCGTCATTCATACTTGCATTTTCTAATTCAAATTTTCCAAACTGTCTGTTCACTTAACGCGAAAGCTTTTGTTTGGAATTTATAATCGCATCAACCTCGATTGATTTGCTTGCTAACAATAAGATGTAATAAAATTAATTATCTTTAATTAAATAAAATTTAGTCTTGCATCACGTCATTCATGAACGATATAACCAAGTAATTCTTTTAGATCAGCTGGACATTCTTCAAACGTACGATTAATTATAAAATCCCCATTGCATTCATCGTACTTGTTAAATCATAATTTGACATCAAATAACCATGGATCGATTCTCAGGATTCGAATTTGAGTCACGAAATTTCACACGATCTACACCACCTGTCATCTTTCACGATCCGCCATTTCACATATACAATTTAACGTAACGTTCGGTACATGAAAAAAAGTTTCCCGTCTGTTAATCCGAAAAAATACAAATTCATCCGCACAACAGTCTAATAAATTCGCTTCGTTTAACCCGCGGAGTGAGAACGAAATTCGTCGAAGCAGTTCTCGCGGCGCGCTCGCAGAGAATTAGCGAATTCGAAACTTGAACGAACTATTTTTTAAGAGAGATTATTAATCGCAGCAGCGTGACGGTACAGCAGCCCCGCGAGTCCCGATAATGAGTTCTCATTCAGCCATTCAGCGGTCGTTTTCACGGTGGTTCTATTCAACAGCGACCCCGAGGAAACGGTTAACAGTCCCGCGCAGACATTTTTCATCCGTACGATCCTCTTTACCCTCGGAAAACAACCAGGTGGACAACCTTAAAAAATTTACGGCGCGGTGTCTCTGCGGGCGAACGACGTCTTGTTAGACCCGTAAGATCTGACCTTCTCGTTATTTCCTTCTTTTGTCCCTTTTTGCTTTCGCATGAAGACGACGTAATTATTAAGAGAACGATAGAATTGGAATTACCCGAAAATCGAGGGATTACAAGTGATAGAATTAAGATAATTAGAAATTTTCTTGGAAATATAAAGGAGAAGGAAATTTTTTTTAATGCTAGAGCGTTGTTGCCAGTTCTTCCAATACAATCCATTGTCGCTTGAAATTCAACGTCATTAACCTCTCGCGCTGAAATAACGTGCCACGCACGTCGAGAATCTTTTGTCCCAAATTGCAATATTTCCTCAGTTTTAAGTATATTTAAACGTAACCGAGGCAAAACAAATGATAAGTTTATTAATTCTATAATCATTTCTATCCAGTGATAGAAATACCGACGAGTTCAAAAGAAAAAGAAAGCGACGAATTATTGTATACGGCTACTCGGTCACTCGTTATGGTCCGCGAATCAGTTGAGACAGCGCCAAGAGGTTAAGTAAAATTTAATAAACTCCACGTTTCGATGAAATTTAGGAATTGCATAAAGCAAAAAGGCTCAAGCAATGGAAATTCAATATATACAAAAATAATTTCTATAGTTTCATCTCTTTTGTAACAAATGATTGTTCGATGAAACGGACGAGTTCATTTTATTCTGATACGGCGCTGTATATTGAAACATATCGCGCGTGTAAATCAGAAATCGCCTAGCTGGATATCAAGGCCACTGCGTTCTCATTGAAAAAGGTAACACGTACGTATAAACTTGTTTCCAAACAACGTATTCCTCGTGCATAACCAAATGTAAAAAACATACTCGGATGGCTAAGACGTTAGTGGCCGAACTGGTTGAAGAGCAACAATCCCTGAACGAACTGTTCTTCAACCGGTAGAGCAATATCTCTCGTGTCAGATCGATTTACAAAAAGAACATTCTTGTAAGAAGATTCTATCGTTCATTCTATGTTTCTCGCGTAAAACCGTTAACGAATAACATAGTACACGATTTCCGCGCTGTTTCAAAATATCCTAACTATTCTAGTTTTACCGGTGGAGAGGAAGTTTCTCAAATATGTACTCTACTAGTAGCGGCAATATCATTTTATGCTAATCTCGACGTATTCACAGGGCATGTTAAAGTAGAAAATTGCGTAATATGAACCACATAAAATATTCAAAGTACAGC